AAATAATGTTTTTGCCGAAATAAGGCGAAAATATACATTATGGTTTTCATAAAACATTTTTTTAATTTTTTTTTTTAATAATTTAACAAAATATTTTTTTTGAGAAATAAAATGCTTTAATAATTTTAATCTGAAAAATATTTTTTTAAGACGTTTTCGGAAAAATGCAATTTTTATTGAGACAAATATACATATTTTTGGCAATTTATTTTTTGTCTTGAATAATTTTACATAAAAATACAAATTTTTTTCAAAATCATTTTGTTACATTTTGTTTTTTTCTTTGCAAAATGATATTTTTAATCAAAATAAAGCACGTTAGCATTTTTAGCAAAAAGTTTAACACACATTGCAAAACTTAAAAACTTTATTGCATTTGAAAAAAATTCATTTAAAATGCATTAAACAAAAACAATTTCATTTGAAAACTTAATACTGCTAAAATTTTTACAAAAATGTAAGTGTAAAATAAAAAAATTATTAAATTAAGCTATTGAGCGTAGTTTGAAGCAATTACACTAACGATGCGCTGCAAAACAGGCAGTCTAAATTTTATAAGAAAAAAATAAAAAAATATTTTAAATAAAAAAAAAAGCTAATAGAGAGTTTGCTAATAATCTTTAGTAGTGGAGAGTTCAAGTAGGTTAAAAATTACAATTAAATTTTTCTTTGTTATAATTGTCCAAGATTTCTACTTTGAAATTGTGTTTTTGCGATTTATTGATATCTTGAAATTCCAATCAATTATTTTTAAAATTTTACTAAAATAACAATTTATTATACACTATATTATAATAAAATTTAATTACACGCGATTGATATTTGAAACGATTTTTGCTTCATTAGGGTGATCACCTTTTTTTATTAGTTCACCTCGAGCAGCTTTCAAGCCGTGCATAACAATTAATAACTTTAATAAAAGATACAAAATCGAAAAATATATGTATACAAGCATCTATATATAAACTAAATTACCTATATATGTATACAAAAGAATATATAACTAAATATATACATAGCATATATTACAACCTAATTAATAGTAGTGTAAAGCATTGAATTATTTTAATTTACATAGCAAAAATACAAAAACAACAGAAATAGTATAGCGCTAATAAAAAAGATAAATCTATTTCTATTAACTATTTTCAAAGCAACAACAAAGAGGAATAACGAAATCAATAGCTGTTTGATTAAGAAGAAACATGGCTGAGCAGAATAATATGATTCGTAATAAAGAAAATTACATTATTGTATAAAAATGTACACAAAATGCTTTTAATTGGTGAAAATATGTTTTGACTATCTTTGAAGATATAGGCTAGGGTAAAATCAGTTGCGAAACAACAAAACATATGCAGTTATACACTGAATATTTTTCCGTTGACATTTTTCGAAATCGGAATGAATCGTTTTTGAACCAGTTTTAAATAAAAATTTCTGGCTTAAAACCGAAGATACAGCTTCGTCCGTTTCCGAGAAATGGAAACGGCAGGTGTACTGCAAGGATGAGCGGAGTGCTAACTGACTAAGGGAGGTCGCTCCCCTGCTGCTGGGCTGGAAAGACCCCGTCCTATGCGCAAAAGGGGGAAGACAGACCTTTTGAGTTTGCTCTAGGCCTCGTCACGAACCAAAACGAGGGTATTAAATCCTAGGCCAGGCCAGTAGAAGAGAACAAAATGGAGGATTGCGATTGGAGGCTGTATTAACGTGTGGATGTTCTACAAATTCATCCGGAAGGAGGGCTTCCGCCTGAACTATTGGTTCAGCTCGGTAGTCATTAGACCTTACAGGCCGAAGGTTACTGAGATAAGCGGCAAAGATAAGAAGATGCAGGTAGACGAGGATGCTACTCGTCAAGGTGCCAGTGAGGCCAAGCAGGTCCAGAAAGGAGGGGTTAGAAGCCTCAATATTGACCCGAATACGGTAATCTAGTATCTCTCTAGCTTAAGACCCAAAGCTTGTATGGTAGTTAGGAACAATATTGATTTCTTCAATTCTTTCAATGTCGGATCACTGATCACGGATCATGAGATTCGGGCTAAAGTTAAAGGTCACGCATCTCCCCCCTAAACGTCTTTCTAAAAACATCAATTGGGCCGCATATCGGAATATGTTAAAGTTAAATGTTAATGGTGAGTGGAAGCTAGATAGAGGCGCAACAACAGTAGGATTGGAGAGCAGGTTTTCTGCTTTCAAGCAGGCCATCATACGCGCATATCACCGCAGTTGCCCCTAAAAAAGGTGACGCAATTGCCCTTGCTGGGGAAATAGACGCTCAGTACTCAGGTCAAAGGTACGTAAGCTTTTTAACAAAGCCAAATGTATTGGGAACTGGGATGAGTATAGATGCAACCTAACTGCCTATAATAAGGAGATTAGGTCTGCGAAACAGAAAAAGTTCAGGAATTTTTGTGAGAACGTCTCCGCGGCACCAGAGGCAGCAAGGCTTCAGAGAGCGCTGGCTAAGGGTAAGACTGATCAGTAATAGCCATTAAAAGATGTGACGGGATCTATACGACCAACACTACGACATTTCTGCGTGTGCATTTCCCGTAGGCGATTATGGAAAGCCAGTGTCTACCTATATTCGAACACAAGCCGTCTCGACTAGATCGAGTGGTCGCAAGACAATTAATTGAATAACTAGAGAAAAAATTAAAATCTAAAATGAGATTAAAATATACAAGCTGTTTTGTGTATTAAGGCAATTATTTTATTTATTCTTATTAATTATTTAAATTATTTATTTAGAACTCCAAAAAATTATTTTCTGCGCAATCTACAATTCATCCTTGAGGTATTGCTCCAAGTTCTCCTGATTCATAAAGCGGTTGAGAAGTCCAACGATTTTATGTGGAAATATGAACGTAATAATCATAAATATGCCAGCAAACTGAAAAATGAAGTATAAATATAAATATTTAAGAAATGTTAAAAAAAAAATGATTTTTATAAATGACGAAGCTTCATAAGTATTCAGCTTGGAACCTTAATTTATATAGCACCTTCTTTTTTAAATTCAATACTTTTATCGCTTGCAGAGGGTATATTAAGAATGTCACGAAGTTTGTAATACCCAGAAGAAAGCGTCGGAGGCCCAATAATTAATGATCAGCGTGACTGACTGAGTAGATTTAGTTATGTTCATGTATGTACTATTCTCGCAGTTTTTGAGATAACCATCTCAAATTTTGCACATATCCTTTTCTCCTCAAGAAACTTCTCATTTGTTGGAACTACCGATACCGGGCCACTATAGCAAATAGTTGTCATATAAACTGAGCGATCGAACTCAAGCGCTTGAATGGAAAACTTTTTTATTTGTAGACATATTTTCGTGAAATTTAGTACAGATTATTATCCAAAGCATAGCTATAATCTCTGAAGAAATTTTTTAGATCGGACCACTATAGCATATTGCTGAATTAGAAACTGAAAGATCAATATCATGTTATTGGCATTTGATACTACCTGTAAAAGTTATTCTATCTGCGGTGCAGTTGAAGTCAACGTTTTTTCTATTCCACAGAATGCAAAAAAAAATTAAAAAATCTCACTATTTTGAACTTACCACAATCAGCGCCTTTGCCAACCAATAGATGCACCAGAAGATTATGCTGCTCAGTGTAGCGAGAAATGCTATTACAGGGTTGTTAAATAAATTCTGTGCCGCCGCGTTTTTTAGCCCGTCATTGCAGTGCTCCTCGTTGCTATACTCATTTACACTCTCATTCTCAAATTCCACCAATTTGTTGCATTTTCGACGACTACTCATAATTTCTGCTTCACTAACGGATTGTGTTGGTTCGTTACAGTAGAATTTTAATTGCAGCTCGTATTGGCTAAGTGAGTGGCTAAAAATAAAAGTTGAATTTTAAATGGAAATGTAAAAATATCCCACATAAAGGTAGGTGTTATTTAAATAGTTAATGCGAATCCGGCAAGTAGCTGATTTTGAGTGCCGCTTAATAATTAATTGCCAATAATGTGGTTGGGGGCGTAGTGAAATTTTTCCCTTTAAATGGTAAAAAGGTGTTTTTAACTCTACTGAATAATCACTTTAAAAATCTCACATATTTCAGTCATTGAGTAAAATAGAGGGTTAATTGAAAAGTCTCCGGCCTGATAGATAACACTACTATATTTAAAAATATATGATATTTAGTTAGCCGTACGCTTTAAAGGCTCAGATCATTAGGTTGTGAATTATTCCATTTTGTGTGAAACAATTTTTGTATCTGTGTTGGCTATCTGTTGTGACTACAGATTATCGACGTCGAACCTTCTTTGTGTTTGTTGATCGATCCGGTTGGTGGCTTTCCGAGCCAGGTAGCTTGATGAATTTTCCTATGCTGGAATTTAGTAATACATATGTATAACCATATTTCGAACCCCGGAGTAATCGATCGGCCTCAACCCATTTGGGGATGTTTCATTGTGGAAGCTGAATTTCCCGACCATTGTACCAAAAATATCTTCTTTTCTCACCCTGGCTATAAAGTCACCAATCACGATTTTGACATCGTGACGGGGGCAGCTCTCATAGGTGTACTCCAAGAGCTCATAGAATCCATATTTGGTCACATCGTTCTTTGGTCACAGCAATTCTGGGATATGTTGAAGAACTTCGATTTGATGTGGATTGTGGTTACATGTTCATCCACCGGGGAGAATGCCAGTACTCGGTGACGGAGTCTATCTTTCACCACGAATCCCATACCGATTTTGCGGTTATCAACCAGCTAGGTGCAGTCAATACCTTCCCAATTAAGGAACCCAGAGGATACCTGGTCTAATACCGGAAGTCGTGAGCTGCTTGATGCATATTTAAAAGAATCGTAAACTTCCATCTCCCATATGCGAAGTATGAAACACGGCATTCTGCAGTCCAATCGACAGTCAGCCGAGTGGACTGCACCCGCTCCAATAATTTTTATTGAGTCCCTTGAGAACGACTCCGAATTGCTTCCGCTTCCACCATTTGCTCCAGATGTGGCCTCGAGCGACTATTTCCTTTCTCAGATTCTCAAAACAATTTCAAATTAAGAGGTGTCGCCAAAACTGAGGCCTATTTTGAAGCAAAGGCCAAATCGTACAATAAAACAAATGGTATTGAAAAGCTGAAGGGTGCCTTAATCAGTATATCACCCTTGAAGGGAACTATGGTGAATTAAAAAAGAAGAAATTTTTCTAAAAAATGTGGCGGGAAGTTTTCAATTGACCCGTCTGAAAAGTTTCCGTATAGGTGCACAAAGTTGGCCTCCGATGCGGCGGTAATCACCTCATTGCACTGAAAGTTTTGCGCGACGAGTGATTTTTGCAAGTTAGAAGCAGGCACAAAGTCGATTCTGCATCTTGGTCCGTGACGGAAATATGAGCCGCTGTATTGTCACAAGGAAGGATCACTGCTTTCTTTGCCAAATGGCATTGTGGTTTCTACAATTACGCATAGTACAGCCGCTAATAAGACTTTCAACGCCTCTAAGTCTTCAATATACATCACACTTTTGGACTACAAGAAAACGATAGGCATTATCTCTTCAGCCAATATAAGAGTCTCAGGGTGAATCTGTCTGTATCGACTGTCTGTTGTGGTTGTTATAGCGGAGGAACGGTTGACAGTCTTTGGCTGGATATAAATCCGGGTCCGTTCCGATTACGTAGACTCGACTGTTGCGGGAACGGGTTCGGCTGTTTTTTTTTTCTTTAGAAACTCCTTTGAAATACAAATATGTTCCATGCTAGTCGGTTTTGGGTTACTTCTGTGTTGTGCTTCGAAACCCGTAGTGCGTTTATTTTGAAAGCCAAAAAAACAAATTGTTTGAGGTTTGCAATGAGGTTAGATAACAAGGCGGACGATTGCTGTAAACAGTACCCACACTTTGATTCCACTACTCGATGTCAGTTCCAAATGTAAGAATCGAATAATCGATTAATAATCGAGATGATCTCCACATCAAAGCCTACCGTCAGTCAGCTTCTGACAACGCGCATAATTCAAATATAGAACGTAGTCTCTTTATTGATGAAGAAATCTCGCTGTTGAAGAAGTTTTGAATAAGAAAAATGACAAAATTTGCGCAAAAACTTCCAAAGAGGCAAAAAATTTTATTCCAGTAGACCAACTGTGACCGTCATAGTCATCCATCTCTTCATTTCTGTAAATAAGGAGGTAAAAACTTGGGAAAAGTGTATCAGAAAGGTGATTTAGAAGGCGTAGTAAAGTAGTTATGCAATATTCTTTTCTTTGGGAGCATTGGTTCTCCCAGCAAGACTTGCCTTTTTTGTTTCCTTTTTATAATGTCCTCAACTTGTAACAAAACTCATGACAGCACTAATATATGTCCATTTTATAACCTGCTGCCCAGCATAATTCCGTTAGCCGCTTTTGAAATTGAAACTAAATGACTACGCCAGAGCAAAACCGCAATTGTGGTTAAACGAGTTTTTTATGGTCTCAGTTTGAGGCTTTCAAGCTTTGTTAGTTGCCCATGAATGTGGCAGCATGGAAACCTCTGTACCAACAACCAAGTCAATTTGAGTGCACTTGACCGCACAATTGGCGTTTTGCATACGTAATAGCCCCCAATATATACATATGTGTACAATTTATAACTTAAACCACAAGCTACATTTTCACAAATAAATTCCTTTCACATCTTCACCTTCGCAGTTCCATTAACTAACCTCAGAATTTTCTTTACGTCTGACTTCGGTTTTAAGGCGCGCACTTGCTTACTGCTGGTATTTGCTGCGAATGTGTGTATGTGCTGCGTTCACTTTCATCTCAGCACTCACACTGAATCGCAGCGCAGCGCTGTTGGCATTTTGCGGTTGCATGCATGCTTTGCATAGCGTACATTTAGGCGCACATAGCGGCGCATAAGGCTTCAGCGCTTGTATGGCGCTAACAGTTATTGAAATGCACACACATATACACACGCAAAGGGATTTGTGTGGTGAAGGCAGCGTGGGTGTATTTTCTCTCACACGCTCACACACACATATATATATATATACATACAAAGGCAGAGTGGGGCATGCTGCGTGCTTGCTTTGGCCTAACGTTGACCATTGATTGCATTATTGCATTCAACTGCATACCCATTAAATTTTGCATCACCACACACACACACACATAGATATACATATGTATACACACACACATATGCTGCTGTGTGGGTGACTTAATTCATTTGTTGGCTTCGTCATATGTGTTTGATTTTCTACTTAAAGCTAAAAATACAAACACACCCACATGGATGGATGTGTGTGCGCGCTCGCTCGGCGCATTTAGTTGCATTTTGTGGTTTTAAGTGAATTTTCATGTTTGCACAAATTGCATTCATGTTTTTGCATTTACAGTTAGCAAGTTGAGGTTAGATAACATGGTTGGCGCACAATACTGTGTGTGTATGTGTCTGTATTTAAAATTGTGTTCATAAGCGTGTGTGAATGCGAAAATAGAATCTGTGGCAGCCGCTTGTAACCGACAAATATGGTGAATACAATTAAATCACACATACTTGGCTTTTTGTACACACACAGCACACCAAACACACATACATTGGCAATGTGCTGGCTTTATGCGAGTGTGTTTGTCTGTATGCTTATCAAAATTGGCTGCAATTTAACACATTTGGATTGGAAAGTTATTAAGTGCTACTATTTTCAGAGAATTTTGAAAGGCGCCTTGACGCAGTTCCTTCCTGTTATGAAATTATGTTTTTGAAAATTATAATATTTGTGGGTGTAAGATATTTTTATGACTTTATTCCAGAACTTTAAACATTTTTGAAAAAAGTCTGTTTGTTATTAGCACTTAAAAACTTTTGAATCTTTTTTCAACAATTTTCTCTCATGTAAAAAATAAAATATTTTATTAGTATTTTTTTATTGTTACTAACATATACTATTAAATAAAAAAAAATTCTGAAAATTTTGAAAAAAACGAATTTAACTCCACCATTTCCGGCGACTCTCGGAAAAAAGATGGGTGTGCGTTGGCAGGATAACTCCTTACAGCATTGTCTAAAGTTAAAAAATATGCGTTGGACGAAGGAAAAACACCTAAAAATTGGAGTTTTATCAGAAAATTTTCCAAAAAAAAAAAAAAAAAAAAAATAGACCAAATATCCCATGAGTTTTTGTAAGTGATGATGCCCTTCCGTTGACTTATTACGTTGTCTTCTTCCCTTGGATATTTTTTTTTGGTTTGTAATAATTGTTCGATTATGTTGAATTATAGACCAAAACTTGGTTGTATACCTTCAGTTAGTCAGTGATGAAATGAGGGGTCGTTCACAATACCGATTTGAAGAAGAGTTTGATTGGAAAGAGTGCGAATATTTATCCCCATAAGTGGTCGTTGTCCACGATAAATACGAAGTATCTCCTTCAACAGATATTTCAGTAATTTTTTACCAACCAACGTCTGCAAGTATTGTTTTTGCAAATTTTTTTTGTAGTTTCGTTAGTTTCTCATATTGACTTGTACACCCTTTTGACAGATTCTAGATGAAACATCGTTACTCTTTGTTAATTTTTCGCAAGCTATTTCCAAAAAAATACTTTCATATATGATTTTTGGCTGCTTGGGTGGTGATATCACTGATATTTCATCGCTAGACTCTGTTTATTTATAAAAGAAAAAAAAAACACTTGAGTACAAAAATATATTTTGACATTATACTTTAGAGCCCATGGTACATCTGCTTTCTGCCAAATACTACTGATCTTCGAAGAATTTGAGTTTGTCAAAATACCACAATGTCGACTCAAATACATTGTCTGCTCCTGCACCTGATTTTACAATTGAATTGGCCGC